CAGAAATTTATGGTAATAAAAATACAGTATAATGTAGTTACATAAGTTTTTTTGTTTTTTAAATCTATCAACTTATTTAAGATTAAAAGTTAAAAGATAGATTTCACTAATCATGGGTGTCCCCTACAAATTTGCACCTGTAGCAGCTGTCCGTTCTTTCCACAGTTACATCACTGCTCTTAATGGTTATAATGAGGAAATCTTGTCAGTCCCCTAGTGTTTGTTACAACCAAGTTTGACTGTATTACTATTAATTATAGTTATATTTATAAGCAATTTATTAATCATCAAACAAGCTATAGAAATTATGATACACAAATCCCCACTGAAATGGTACATTTATATATTAACAGTCCATATAATACAGTACACATTAACAACTATCTCATATGTAGGTAATTGCATAAGATTAATACATGAAGATAGTTCTATCAACTATATCTTTGATTAAAGCATAAAAAGTCAAATTATTAAATATTTATTTCACAGTTAACTTAGCAATTCATAACCAATAATGTAATTTGCAGATATTTTGATGTGATGTATTTTGATACTTTCCATATTTTATATNTGATAAATAAAAAAATGCAATAAAAATATATTTTAATTTAAATCAGTTATCATGTAATCTCCATGCCTGTATTTAATTAAGGCAATATTTCTAAAAGTTCCTACAAATTAAATTTAACTTTTTATTCTATTATTAACAATAAATCTTCATAATGTATTTTCTTAAAATGATCAATTCTTTCTATTAAAATTATGCAAAAAAATTCTACCCACTCATTTGTATGATTAGAAAATGTGCAGCAATTTTATGTGAACAAGAAAAATAAACTTGTGTATAAAGTTCTATTGTATAATGATATACCATCAATGTAGTCAGAACAAGTTTCATTTCAAACCAAGTCAGAACAAGCCATGATCAAAATGACAACACAAAAGAATAAAATTTGTGCAATAAGCTATATGAATACAAAAGTAATGTCATTGCCCATAAATGTACATTTAAACTATGCAAAACTTATAAGGACAAAGTAAAAAAAAATAATCTTATCAATGATAAGAGTAATTTCAATCAAAACAGTCAAAAACAATCAAGGAATTGACATCTTTCTGCCCATTAATTATCTGTTGTCAGAAATCTATAAAAGTAGATTGTGCCTAAATTGAATATTTGGATTTTACATCAGTTAACACAAAAGAACATGCCATTTTTCTATACTGCATGTGCTTCATACTGTCAAGATGTCTTTTAAACAGGATTACAAAAAATAAAAAGTGGCTTGTGTATAAAAAAAGATCACAGAACATCTTTTTTCCTGGAGCTTTCTGTTGTGGTGTGATTATTTTTACAGAAGATAGGGTGCAGGTCTATCATCCAAACCCCCAACCTAGAGGACCAGGTAATTTAAATATATTACCTTTGTAAAGTTTTTATTACCTGAAATTACTCTTGCAATATGAAATTTGTTTGGCTAATCCATTTGAATTTGAAAATTCGAACAGATTAGCTGAAAATGTCAATGGAATACATTCCACAAAAAAGAAAAAGAGAAGAAGACCCAAGTGAACTTGGTACAACGGAGTAAAGTTAGCATGTAGTGAAAATGGAATTAAAGAGGAATGGTGTATGGATAGAAAGAGATGAAGGGGTTCCTGGAGGTCGGAAGGCAATGTCAGATGCAATAAACCAAATATAGATAGATAGAACATCTTTTGGACATTTCACCTTCTGTATGCCCTGAATTTATTGTTAGTGGAACTGCAGGAGATATTATCTAACTTTTACTGAGCTACTAAATGAGATGAAAATTGATTTAGTAGCTCAACTGATAATTTCATATTTTGATAAGTTAGTAATTTGTGTTACTATGAACAACTGGACTAATTAAGCATAAGAAAATACTTAGCATTGTAGCTTAGCATGGGAAAATACAAGCAAGAAGACACACAATAACAAGGACACAAAATAATCTGCTGTAATTAGACAAGATCATAACATGCTCATGTTCACAGAACCTTGATTTCTCAAAATTCCATGCATTCTTTTCCACGAACAATTTTAATTTTTTTTTTTTTTTAAGGAAATTTCACAATGAAATCAAAGTGTAATAAAACAATTCCTTTAATATGAAAGACATTTACAAGCTTGTAGGCTATTGAGAAAGAGTAATTGCTAATTACTAAGATGACATTCTAAATTAAATAAAACATGTAAAATTCTCATGATAGCCTATGTATATATATATATCATGTTTTTCTATTGATTTTGAACAAATCCAATATCATTTTTATAAAAAATAAATAGAAATAAAATCCTTTGGTAATGATAATAATTAAAACTAGATTTTCAAGAATTTTATAATTTTGTGAGATCCGTGATTTTTACGCAGATGTCGGGGAAAAAAACCCTTTGTAAACAACTTCAATGAAAAAATATTCTTGGTGAGAATTATATCGGAGGTCACCAATTGTTTTCACAATTAGGTGGGAAAGTTGACACTTAGTTGATCGGAATGCACCGTTAGTGTCAACAGAAGTCAATCATGTGACTCCTTTCCCACAAAGAACGTATAAAAGCTCGAGCCCCCAGAAGCTCCGAGTGACCAAAGGAAGTTATACTTATTAAGGTGTGCATCTTGTCTCCATACACCGGACATTGCGACTGAAAGGACATTATCATATGACAGACAGCAACTTTGAACTTCCATCGCCATTCTACAGTTCATGTGCTGACTATGATTCATATGGCCCATTCAACGAACACATATTAGTCATATCCTCATAGAAGTATTTGCATTTTAGAGCTTTGTGAACTCTCTCTCTCGCAGTTAGAGCTGTAAGAGCAGTTAGAGCTGTAAAGAGTGGCCCTTTGTGAACTCTCTCTCTCGCAGTTAGAGCTGTAAGAGCAGTTAGAGCTGTAAAGAGTGGCCCTTTGTGTAGTTTACTTATATTTAACCGCATTTAACCTTAATATTGTTATCGCCTTATGTATCCTAGCTTAGCTATTCAATAAACGTTTTGTTATTTTGTTTAACCTGTCGTCTATCGTTGTACCTGACAACTTACCAATGTACTCCCCACTCAATTTGCCCTCCTAAGCCATTTGAAGATCAGAGATCGGGTTTTACCAACCTGTTGCAGCGTAAGTGNAATTATGAAAAATATAATCTTTTTACTATTTTTTTTTTTTATCATTCTAATTTAAGTGCACCGTAAAAATTTAATTATAGGTTCAAGTGCTGTGAGACAAAAAAGGTTGAAAAAACACTGTATTAAATGAAGAGTATTGATAAGGAAATCAAACTTAGCCCTTGCCTTACATAACTTAATTTTTATTTGCTGGATTATTAAAGGTGTGTTTTATTCGTAATATATTTATCCAGTTAGTTAGTTATATAAGTAACCGATGGCTACACTGGCCAAACAATATAAGAAACTGACCCTTAAGTTGAGTATTGATAAGCATTTTTTTATACAATTATGTGGGGGGAAATGTTCACACTGCTATATGAGAGTATCAATGTGGATTTCTTGGGAGTACCAGATTGCCACATTTATTAATACCCATTTGCAATTATGCAATTTTGGTTTGTTTTGACTTGAGTGAATATCATGGTGCTCATGCAGTCCTGGGACAATGGAAATGCCTGAAGAGAAAAAACTTTTTTGATAATATCCCTGCAGAAAATATTTGATATACTTCATCTCAACTGCAAATGTCACAAAACACTTTTTGAAGAATTACTTAATGCTGATGAAACATATGCATATAAATTACACAGCAGAATTCAAGAATTAATTCCAATTGAATACTGAAAATTAGTCAAATTTTTAAAGTGATATTTAAATACAATAGAAAGAAACAATTATTTCATGGAAAACAAAGCAACTTCCACAAGATGAAGTTAATTTACCATTACCGCCATGTATGGGCCAAAAATATTCCACATGATATCAGACAAAAACTTTCAACACAAATTTCAATGTAATGTTTGGATAAGTGTGATCAATGACCTACTAATCAGTCCATTCTTCCTGCCTGACCAGATGAATGGAATATTTTCAAAAATTTCTATCAATTTACCAATCTTGACAGAAAATGTACCACTTGTTTCACCAAAACAGTGGATATAATCAGATAGTTCTCTATTGTACTATATCAGAAGAGTTAAAATCTGGTTGTATGAAAATTATCTTCACAGATGGACTGATCAAAGAAAACTGGTCCTCTGGTCTCAGATCACCAGATTTAACATCTGTAAATTTTTATTTATGGGAACTTTAAAAGTTAAGGTTTACAGTATAGAAGTGACATCATTTTAATATTTAATGCAATAAATTAATAACTGAATTACAGACAGAGATTCAATAAAATTCTCAGGAAATTTATACTGTAATAAATTCCATTATACATCACTGCAAGCTTGTATTAATGTGCAAGGAAAACATTTTGAAATGCATTACTGAATCTAACAAACACAACACCTTATTAATCCCAGCAATATTTAATAAGAATAATAACATTTTCGACTGTTTTAAACAGCCTTCATCAGTTAAACTATTTCAAACTAAAAGAATGCTGAAAATAGAATACAAGCTTTTAAAAACTCAAATTCCAACGTAAAACACAGTCGCATAGTGCATATTATTCTTATTAAATATTGCTGGGATTAATAAGGTGTTGTGTTTGTTAGTTATACATTATCCAGTAAGTTCTTTATTTATTTATGCATTACTGAATCATTTGAAGATAGTAAATATGATATGAATACACATATAAGATAAACACATTCAATCTTGCAATTGAAAATCCAATGAAATGAAATACAGTGATACTCCAAACTTACGCGATAGGTGGGACCGAGCGATAACCGCGTAAGTTGAATTCACGTAAGTCAAGGTATAATTTTGCAATTTGTGTAAAATCCAAGTTGAATGTATGTAAGCTAATAAATGTTCTCGTTAATCTTATCTCATCTTTTGATTCGTTCACGGTTACAAGAAATCACCACATAGAGTCTCTCGAGTCTCTGTAGATATAACAAACACAGAAATAAATAACACAAAATAAATTGTAGCTATGTGTCAATTCCGCACGACAAGTCCGAACACATAAGCTGAACAACAGTGTGGGGGGAGTGAGTAATCAAGAGTTGCTTGGCACTCAAACAAAAGACGAATCAACAAGTTTTGAAAATCGCTTAACTCCGGGTTTGCATAAGTTGAGGTATTACTGTACTTAATATTTATTTATAATTATGCAAAAAAAAGAATTTCTAGTCAAACTTCATATATGTGACCTGTCCAAAAAGTAAACATACAATGGCTAGTATTCATTCAAAACATTTTTATTTGACTAAATGTCCACTATACCTTATTTACTGGTACGTGTGTTATTTTTCTAAGTAATTGTTGCCATTGTCCAAAAATTGTTAAGTCTGGGTACTAGCTTCTGTATCCCAGAGTCGCAGAATTCTACCACTTGCTGCCAGAACCACATTCCAACTTTATTTTAATCTCATCATTGTCATGGAAGTGTTGTCCTGTAAGATGTTTCTTCAGATAAAGAAACAGTCACTGGAAGCAGGATCTGGGATGTAGAGCAAGTGGTCAAAAACTTCCCACTTGAATTGTTCAAGTAGCATCACAGCTTCTTGAAATGACTTCAAGCAATTCTCATTGCAAGAACTTAGACATTCTGGAATGACTTCAAGCAATTCTCATTGCAAGAAACCAATTTGCACAAATTGCTTCCTCAATTCTTTGAAAAAAATTCATCAGAGATCACAGATAGCCTACCACTCCCATGTTTGTCATGAACATCACTCCTGCGTGGCACCACTTTCTTACATTTGGTCGATTCATAATGTTTCCATAAACAGAAACAATTTGATTGTGAATATCCACCAGATGCTCACCTTTTGCATTGAGAAAACATATGATGAAGTTCACTTCATATCTGGAGGAATTTTGAATTGGCACAGCCATTGTAAACATGTGCTACTTGAACCACACTTAATGTAACAATGACAAATGACTGCAAAAAGAATGCAAAAAGATTGAAGGTCAAATCGACTGCTGTCAACATACACACCAAAACATTAGCTTTCTGCTTATATGCAATGTATCTTAACTTTACAGGCACGGCTCAACATTTTCTTTTTATTTTCACTTATAGATGCTCTTGCTGTTTGGTGGGTAAATCTCAAAATATCATATGTACGAATACACACACACACACAGTGTACAACGATGTTCTTCTCCAATTATTAAAACCTTAGTAGTATTGATGAAATTTACAAAATTTATAGCCTGCATATATATCAGTAAGTTCAAAGTTGTTTTGCAGAAAACAATACATTAATGATGATTGGCAATGCATGGCTTGTAAGCTATATATAAAAACACAAATATCATCACTATACCATTGCAAAAATTATAAAAAGTATTATATTAGATCATTTAGAATCATCAAATAATGCCACATCACTATCTTTGCAAAAAATTATAAAAATCTGATAATATTAAAAATAGTATCATTCATTATGTCACTAACATTGCATTATATTGTCCCTTTCAATTTTTTTAGACTCACTTTATATTTTACATTTATTGTATTTATTGACAGAGCCAAGAAAAACTAACAAAATTTACAAATACAGTAGATTCTACTTAATTGGACTACTGGTTAATATATAACAGAAACAAATCAATGTATTTTATGTAAATTTGTGCCATTTACTTAGGATGGTGATATCGTAATCAAACAGCAAACTATAGATGGTGTACTGAACCTCTAGTTACATCACAATTATGCCAATTATCACTGTAGAATGGGTTTAAATAGAAAATAATGTTCTACAGATATTCTTCTCAAATTTGCTAGGTCTAAAAGAAGTTAGGTTGGAACAGAGACAAACCAATTGTAGTTATTGAACAAAATGTGACAAAATAATCAGAGATTTCAGAAGACCAAGAAATATGTGATTATGAAGGACTTAAGAAAGTGACTAAGCACAAATTACTGAATTGAGACAATATTTCATGCAAGAAAGGAATGAAAACAGTTCTTTATCTGCTTTAGACATATGTGATGATTTTGTTTAGTTACAGTCAAAAAAAAAAAAAAAAAGATGTCAGTAACTTGATAAATTTTTTCAAGATGTAATAAAAATAAACATTCTGTCTTTAATTTATTTATTTTTCAGTAAATGTCTCTCTATTTTATACATTATACCTGTTCATTAGACTACCATGAAAAATGTGTTTCTCTCAAGCTAATCAGAATAATATCTATATAATTGGGCCATGTGATCTATTCTCTAATACAGCAGATTCTGCTTGTTAGGCTATATATGAATTCTATCACTTTTTACTGGGCTCAATGTTTACCAAAGATAGCTCAAAGTGCATCTAGCTTCTCATTCATGGTATATAAAATCACTTTGTAAAAATATGTAATTAAATAAAAATTAAAATGTGTCTTACATAATTCCATTTTTTTTTTTAAATGTTTTAAATATAGTAAATTTGTATGTTATTTCTGGGCTCAATGTTTACCAAAGATAGCTCAAAGTGCATCTAGCTTCTCATTCATGGTATATAAAATCACTTTGTAAAATTATGTAATTAAATAAAAATTAAATTTAAATTTAAAAACTCACGCCAATATTTGTATAACTTATGGATACAAATTCACTGAGTTCAGCGTTAATAAAGTTTCTTTAGTATTAACACAAGCACTTTCGACGAATGTATAATCGTCGTCTTCAGGTGAAAAAAATAAAATTTTAACAAGACAAACGTGCAGGATATTCCAAAGGAACAAAATATTTAAAATTCAAACAGGCGTCCGGAAATTCCGTTAAGAACGTGCAAATAATTTTTTGATATGTTCGAATTTTTATATTTTACGATGTTTGCGGCGCATGCGTGGAAATGCTACCGCGTTGGCGATACGATGTTAGGTGCGTTTCGCTTTTTAGGCGCCGGTATAAGGCAATCCAACACCCCGGGTAGATCGAGGGTGGGAACATTGCACGCTTCTGAAGTAGCCGTGAGAAGTGCTTCCCAGATANTTTATTATTTAACAATAATCATTTTAATTAAATAGATAGTACTAAAAAATTAATTCTATATATTCTAAAATTTTATTTAAAAAATCATTTGCTTTCTTATACTTTAATTTTCATTCAGTGTTTAAAAATATACAAATCACCCAAATATTTCAAAAAACAAGATGTAAATAAACAATTCATTTGAAGCAACAGAGGAAAATAAACATGACAATGTTTTCTTCAAGCATCATGAAACCAGAAGTTGGGTGCTTAGCCAAAAACATTTACATGTTTGTTTTTTTTCTCTAATGTAATTAAGTAGTTTTGTTTAAGAATATAATTTGTATTATATTTTAGTACACAATTTGTTTTAAGCATTACTAAAAACTAAACATTAATATTTAGTTTTTTTTATTAATGCTTTTGTCTTTATAAAAAAATAATGAAAATACAAAAATAATCTCACTCTTAGATTGTATAATTATTATAAGATTGTGTTAAATATGCGCGATTACATATGAACATAACATTTAATCATATTCCTATTTTATAATGAAAAACTTACCCCAACTAGTAAATTCCCATTTCATTTCTACATAAAAGTCAGGAGTCTGTAAATAGAATTTATTTCTTCTTTAAATAACTTTTGAAATAAATTCAAGCACAAAACATAAATCAAAATAAATACTTATTAAATTTAATTAAAATTTTAATACTTTTATATGTTGCTTCAAATATAATTAATATATTTTGTATTTCTACTATATTAAATATTAATTTTGTTTTATTATATATATATTTTATATTAAATAGATTCATAAACTCTTTTCCTACATCACGAATCCTTTTGAGTAGTTCCGGTATGCCACCAACTCTGCTGCTATACCTTTGTAGATCTCTGGTTTCTAAAACAACTTGTAATAATTCAGGATCACTAGTACTTACTGCTTCATGTACAACTATAAAAAATAAAATATATATGTATATTTATTTATTTATTATATTTACTATCAATTCTGTTCAAACACTAAGGTATATATTAAACATTATATATTAAATTATTCACATCATTTATTGCAAGATACTTACTGTATAAAAACTATTAACAAACAATAAAGTGAGAGCAAAACCCTGGAAGTATATAGAATATTGGTTGAGGATCCATGATTTAGACTTGCTAAGAACTATTTAGGGACTACTAATCATACACACCCTTGGTGCAAGGATTAAGGAGCACAAATAAAACAGTGAAAGGGGATGCTCAATACTACTTTGGTGACATTTCCTTCTGTTCCAGATATAAAAATGCATTGCAAAGGGTGAATTAATATGTTCCATTAATAACATAATAGATTTTAAAAAACATGAAATTGATAAAGATATATAAATTGGCTATAAGATCTAAGTGCATCAAATTTTGAGATGCCAATAAAGTGGGTGATTGTTAACCAAACTGTTCAATTAACTAAACACTTTCGCGAAAGATTTTTATGTTTGGACAACGAACACATGATCAGATAACGAACACCTCACAGAACAAATACAAGAAGAAGCAACGTAAAATAATGAATACCGATTGGTCTTCCCTTGTCTTCAGGAAACAATTCAAAACTTTTCGGAGCGCAGAAAACGTCAACATTGACGCTCAACCCAGTATATACTGATCGGATAGTATTCCTCCGAACTTTGAAACTCTCCCTTGTAATTCCAGTCTTTTATTTTTCTAACAGAAAGAATTCTTTTATAGTATTCACGAGACTGTCAGGTGGACACTTGTTAAGTTTTGCGTCAATTTTTATTTTCGAAAGGTGAGAGTATAATAGCAAAGGTAGAGAGTGGGCAGTATGGCTTGAACATGTCTACAGTAGGCCGCAGTTCAATCTTATCTAAGAAAGATACAGTATAATCAAGAAGACTCAAGCAGCTAAAGGAGTAACAAAAATAATATCTGAGAAATAAAGAGCATTGAAGAGCTCAAAATGGAACCTGAAACTGATCTGATGACAGAATAACATCAAGAACTCTTGAATGAAGAACACCAAGAAATTCGGCAAATTATGTTTTCTTCTGAAAAAGAAGATTAATGCTGACATCTGCTATTAAAGACCTTTTGAAGAAGTGGGAGGATGTCAGAACAATGGTCTTAGAATGACATCCAAACCAGGTTGAGGTTAATAGGCTTAGGGATCTCTACAATGCTATTAATTACTTCTGAAAAATCCTGAAGAGAGAAAAGCAATTGACATTGGACAGATTCTTTAACCCCTACAAATGGAAAAACATAACTGATAAAAATGCAAGACTGTGTATATATGTATTTTTATTATTACATATAAATAAATATAGTAAGAAAGTACATATTTTTTATTTTTTGGGTTCTCCATAACGAATTAATCAAATTCCCATAAAAACCTATGGTAAATCAATAATCAATTAATGAACAATTCGGATAGCGAACAAAGTCTTGGAATGGATTATGTTCATTAACTGATCACCCACTGTATTTCTAATGCTTGGAAGTCCCTCTATGAGAGCCAATGACCTCTAACTTTCTATTATTCTAATGGATGAATAATGGGGTACTTTAATTGTGCCATATAGTTTTATTTCTTCAAAACGAATGATGAACTTTTACAAATATTAACATCACAATTAATTCTTCATGACTTGTTAATTATATTACTTTATATTTTTAATTATGAGTTTTAATCTAAGTAATTTTATTGTATTTTGTATGCTCTGGTTTAAATGTTTTATTCATTTCTATTTGAACAGTTTGAATTTGTAAACATGCTATTCTATTTCATGTTCTGCAAATGTTAATTTTATAATTTTTATAATGGTCTAGTCCAGATTCAGTTCCTTTTATACATTATGGCCTGATGATGGTCATTGAATATAGCCAACTAGTTCTCTGGACTATGGAAACACTGTTTCAGTGTAAATTTAGTTATTCAACTCTGACATTTTACATATCCAGAACTTTAATGCTAACGTTTTTGGCTATATTGTTGATGATGAATGATGATGCTAGTACACTATACCATTCACAGATGCTAGTACACTATAAGTGGTTCTCTGTTACATCAAACAATATGTCAATGCAATATCACCAAATTTAATATCCATGTGACATTGGCATAATATTGCAGTCTCATCATACTTTACTTCTCTTTGACCAAACAGAGTTGATTAATTTTATAAAACTAAAGATTTTAAATTTACATATGTATTTAAACACATGGTATTTTTTATTTTATTTCAGCATTTCATATGGTTACTAAACATTTAAAACTAAAGCATTTTAATTTCATTACTATTGTATAATACAAAATGCAAAAAAGTTTAATATTTATATATTTCATAATTGTAACTATAATTTTATTTTTAAATGGTACATTTTCTTTCATTCATACTTTTCTATTTTTACTTTTTCAGCTGTTGTTATGTATACATAACAAGGAAAAGTATTGGAATCATGTCAAATTTGACCTTCTGAGTTTTTGCAAATCTTTACATTTTGAGATCTCCTGAATCCAAAAAATAAAAATTGCACAAAATCCCTGTGTATGTGTGTGTGTTTCCTTTAATATGGAGTAAAATTAAGAAATAAAATTTTGAATGATAGCTTGTATATAAGGGGCATTGAAGCTATCAAATTTTGGTGGTAAAGGTGAAGGGGTGAAGAGATGATGTGTAGTCACGTGTCATATCTCAAGAGGGGTAGCACTAAATAAAGATTTTATTCGTTATTAACATTTAAAAATCTTTATAAAACTCATCCATACCCTCAAAATTAAGTTTTTTCTATTTTATAGAAAATATAAATTAAAAATATAAAAAATTAAAAATAAAAAAAGTTAAAAATAAAAAAAGTTTGTTTTTAAGAAATATCTGTNTTATTGTAATTTAACATACTGTATTGTAGTGCTTAATAAACAGTGTTGTGACTAATTATTTATTGCTATTTCAAACAAATTTGTAAATGTTTCAATCCACACCTCTTGGAAAGTTTAAGTTTATGAATCTTTTATGTTTCCATTAGTTTATCAAAAAAAATAATTGCTATCAAGTGAGGTTGGCTTTTTTGCCATTTGGATTAACTGGTCAGAATTTCAAATTACTGAAATTTGAATTAGCAAGGTTCTACTATATATTTGTTTAATATAAAAATTTTCCAATTATTTCTTTCTTTATTTCATAATAAATATAATTAGAAACTTGTTGCCAAAACTACATTATTTTAGAAAGTTACAAGAACATTACCAATATTCATTAGTTTTATTTGTTTTTAATGGAGAGAGAAATTATAATAGTCATGGAATCAATTCAAATACTTTACTTATTGGAAAAAAAATGTACTGACTGTCTAACATATTTAAATTTCTGAACCAGTACTATAAAATAAACCTTCCTAAAGTGATTTATTGAAACAAATAGCACTCAATTGACACTCAAGGATATCATTTTAACTTTATATGTAGAATTATAACACATTCAATTAGTTAAGTGTAAGATATGAAACAATTGATGTGATAGAAATCATAAACTAAAAACTTTAAAAAATAGTTGTATTGTAATAAATGCAACTGTGTAACAAATTTTCATAAATTACAGTTGTAAATAAAAAAAGTTTGTTTTTAAGAAATATCTGTTAATTTTAATTTAAAATAGTTGCCTTACAAGAGAAAAAGTTAAGTAATTAAAAAATAAATAAAAGAAATACCTGTGAAACCTTCTTTATTTTCTGTATTTACATTTGCATGATGCCTCAGAAGGACACGGGTGGATTCTAAATGGCCTAATGTCACTGCCAACATTAAAGGAGTTCTACCTCTTGGATCTTTAAGTTCAATGTCATGCTAAAAAAATCCAATAAATATTAAATTAAATAAAGGACCATCAAAAAGATAATAATAATTCTTTAAATAGAAAACTGCTTATTAATATTTTTAATAAATTAACAATATAGCATTGTAGTAATTAAATTATTATTTTTACAATGTACAATCAACCTGATATATGTTATTTAATTAAATGATACAGCTAGATTCTTTTCAGACTACAATAACATTAATTAAATATTAAGTAATTTAGCTAGAGGTGAGTAATTAAGCAGCTATCTTATTAAATTTAATAATCAAAAATAAAGAAATTTAATGTAATGGAAGAAAAGATGGACCTGGAGAGGAACTTGAACCCTCAATTCCTAATTACCATGCAGATAAAATACCTGGACCTCGACCAACCTTTTCTTCCAGACTAATAAATTTAATTTAGCTATAACCATTCTTATAACTTATCGCACTGACTGGAAACAGTTATATACTCACAGCCAACTTAAGCTTTTACCCCAACACAATACATATATAATTACATATACAAATTAATATGCAATATTAATTTATTTCTGATCATTAAATTTAACAAGAGATGGCAGCTTAACTGCGTACCTCTAACCAAATTGCTGTATACAAATCTAGCTGTATCATTTGATTAATTATAATTTTATTTTGTAAATAAAAATAATTAATTTTATAAACAGACATTAAATGTATTATTTTCTGCATTTTTTCTTAGGGTTAAGTATATCCTTTGATAATATCTAAAATTGTAAAATGTTTGCAATTTACTTTAAACAAATTAAAAAATATATTTTCTTGTTATCCTTGTACCCCTACTTATGTAATCCAAGTTTGTCAATTCTGCAAAAAACTGACTAATAGCACATCCTGACATAATTAAATGGATTACTTCATATATTAACACCACACACAAATAATCATAAAATTTTGATATAGAGACAAGTTGGTGAAAAGATGATGATAAACATGTCATATGCTTATGAATTCCAACTAAATTCCATTAAACTAACACATTTCATGCATTTTATCTTCAGTAATTTATTGTTTGCCACAGTAACATTTTCAGATGTATTTAACACCTATCATCTGGCAACCACAAATAAAATCACATAATTCTAATTCCAAAAAAAAAAATATATTCCAAAGACTTAAACTTAACATTTAAGTTTAAGCTTTTAGAATGTTATGTTCTTGTAAAAACTAGCAATTATCAAAGATACATTAAAATTTAACCATCTTTTGTGTAAAATAAGAAATACAAAAATTTCTTATTTTACACAAAATTTTTCATTTTATCTTTGCCATACAATTCAATAGAAAAATGAAAATTGGAAAGCAGCACAATGATATCAATATTCAAATATTGTAGAAACCATAAATAAAATTAAAAAAATATAGATGTATGGTACATTGCAATTATTTTTGAATTAAGCAGATATATAGTCAATGTTAGAAACATGATTTTATCATAATTTAATACAAAAGTAAAATAGTATATGATATAAATGACAAAATATTTGCCATTTCCAATAGTAAAATTAACTATACTCTATACTGTTTAAACTAAAAAAAAACTAAATTCATTTACAACTGTTTTTTTTTTTTTGTTTTTAAAACTTTCAAGTGTAATTCAAACTACAATTTAAAAAGGTTCATCAATCACAGTAACAATCGGTAATGTGATTGTTACTGTGTTGATGTAAAGTACTGTATGACATTAACTCTGTCACAGAATACACCTATACTGAAGAGGGATAAGTGCAAACTCCGATCTGAAATGCATATAACTAAAAAAAATCTATGAATTAAAATTGTCTTCTGAATAGTTCTTGACATCTGGTGATGTCAGATTAGGACATAATAAATTTGTCTATTTGCCTATAAAACCCTTTTTAGTAACTACTATAAAGGGTTTTATAGGCAAATAAACAAATTTAATTTACCAAATTAATTAGAAAATATTTAAATCTATTGAATACAGGCACTCCTCACTTAAGAACCTACCTATTAACAACTACTTTGACTTATGAGCAGCTTTCATAAGTCTCTTTCTCAGTCTTGGAAATACCCTTTCTTACAAGTTAGTCTTAGTCTCATTCCCACAGTCATCAGTTTTCACTACATGAAGTGTTCACAATCTCCAAAACTACACATTTTATTTATAAATTTGTACTTTATTGCACACTCCATAGTAAAGGATGCCAGTAAAAAGAAAGAGCCAAGAATCAAAGAAAGGCTATTGAGTTGAGTTTGATATTGAGTTAGATCTTGAGTTGAGAATGATTATTACAAATGACAATGAAGCTGGTCAAAAACTTAAAGCAATAGCATGTGACTTGGAGATAGGGCATTTGATTGTTCTGACGATCTTGAAAGATTAAGTTAGTGTGAAAGATGTAGTGAAAGATTTTACAGGATTTAAAGCCAAAAAACTAGACAGTAAAGGCCTCATTTATGAAATGGAGAAATTACTGGTGATTTGGTTTGAAGACCAGATACAAAACACAATGCCAATGATCCTTTTAATAACTCAAGCCAAAGCATGCAGTATCTTTGAGATTTTGAAGAAGTGAGAGGGGGGACTGATGGAAACATTTATGGCAAGCCATGGATGGTTTCAACAATTTTCTCAGAGATTCAACTTGCATAATCGAAGTATCAACAGTAAGCAGCAAGTGTGAATGTAGAAGCAGTGAAAAAAATTTGTTGACTATTTTGATAAAATTATTGAGAAACTTCAATGGTATTCAATAAAATCTGGTGGTTACCACCAAAACAAAACTTCAGTGTGAATGAAACAGGACTTTTTTGGAAAAAAATGCTTGAGAGGTCCTACATACACAGAGAAGCTAAAAACAATGCTCAGTTTCAAGGTTTAAAGTGCTTATTTTTTTATGAATGAACTTTAATTTTTTGGGTATATCATTTTTATAATTTTTGCTGATTGTATTTTTATGTATGTAAGAGATGCAAATTAAAACAAGTTGGAGTTTTCCTTAAACATTTTCTTTATCCATAATTAATAAAACTGATTAAGATCCTCATTTATTGAACAATTCACTTAATAACAAAGTCATACAAATGGAACTTAGTCATTAAGTGAGGAGTGTCTGTATTTTAAACAAACTGATGACTGACTAGCTTATATTAAAAAAGCAATTTTTTATAACCATATTAGACAAATATATTCTTTTAATAAAATTGCATTTTATAAAAGTATTTAAGTAAACTTTCATAGGAATTATAACTATATTAAATTTGTTAATTCTACAGCTGGAACTATTTTCTAAATATTAAAATTCACACCTTCCTCTCACTTTCCTGAATTCACTGATTAAAAACAAAGGTTTTCAGATATCTTCAGTAACTTGCATCCGGTTAGGAGATTCTATATGGAACATCTGTATCTTTTTATTCAGTTTATAGTTCTGTAGTTTTTAATGTTGGAAAGTGAAAGGAAGGTATGAATTTTAGTATTTACTATATTAAATAAAGTATATTTCAAAAAATTCATATTACTTAACATTTATTTTTAACATCTATTTGTTAAAAAATAGATAAGTTATTTGAAATAATAAATAATAAAGATTACAATGATTAGATAAATGCTAAGATAATAATTTAAAATTGTTTTGTATTTTAATTTAAAATAATTTTATTTAATTTAATAATTTATTCAGAATTTATAAGACTTAAGCAATTATGAAACTATACATTTGACATATCATAATTCAATTTTATTTTCTTAATTTAAAAATGATTTAATTATATTTAAATATAAAAATTTTATATTATCTTTTTAATATTCTTTCAATTTCCCTTAAACAGTAAACTACATTAAGTAAAATAATCAAACATTGCCAGATATCTTTTGAGATATCTTGAGATTTTGGTCTTTATAGTCTAAAAATTAATTAGTTTTGACATTTCATCTACAAAGAAAGTTCATCTAAACATGAGAATTTTAATAATTAGAAATTTAAATCAACTCCAGTTATTAAAATTCTCACATACAGCAGCAAGAATAACAGCAAATCTAGATCTAAAATTTTATTGAATATTAAAGGCAAAGGAAAGATCTAGAAGAGAGCTTTTCACTTAAAAATGATATGTAACAGAAACAAACAAGTAATTGTTACAGTAACATATGATTTGTGATTTACAATTCAAGTTTATATTTAAATAGATAAACTGTGAAGATGGCAAATGTATAGTAAGTTTAGAAAAACATTAAGTGAAGGTTTGACTTCTTGAAGGAAGCTGGATTCTCATTTTGGTTAATGTATAATGTGGTAATTTTATGATTTTAGATAGAAATAAAATAATTAAAAAATAGAACAAATAAATATTTTGGATAACTGATCAATATACAGAATAAGTTTTAGCATACATTCCTGTTGTTTACATTATGATCTGTCTTTTTGCTGAAGTTAAATTTTATAAGAAATTGTTAGACCTAAGTATTTTTGATTTTTAGAAATTATAAAATTTGATTTAAATAATAATAGATGGATGGATTAAATGATGGATTTACTAACACCTTTATGATGATTCCAGCATATAAATATTTAATAATTACAAATGTTTTAGGAATTCATTGGGTAACAAGCAAAATATTTTTGTTTAACTGTTTGCTGGAATTATAAAGGTGTCAGTAAATCCATTTACCAACAGTTTCAATTGTTTATATTTAGCTAATAACAATTTAGTTTAAATATAATAAGTTGCTGCATTTTGAACATAGATTCATTTAGCTAATCAAATTACAAAATCAACTATTACATAATTAACAATATTTATTTGGAAAAAAGTAGAGTTTATAAAACAAATTTATGAAAGCTGAAACTATGATTCAATTTATATTTATTTTGTTAAATTATACATGGTGATTCTAAATGAATGGAACAACCTTGCGTAATAAATACAAAGAAGCTATTTATTATAGAAAAACATGTGAGCCATCAATCGATAAAAGTTATTTGCATCATAAAAATTTA